GAGACACAACCACTTTTTATGAAGAAAGTAAAAGAAGGTTACAGCAGGGTCGCCACTGGCTTCTATTCTGAGCCATATCTGATAACGTCTCTAGCCACTGTGTTGCACCATATCTCGGACCCCAGCCAGGGAGTCGTGAAGGACCAACACAAGCCAGTCCTTTGCAGCTTTCTTTCATGCCACGACACCATGTCATGCACTGACCACCTCTCCGCTTCTTCCAACCAGTCCCAGAGTCGGCAAATAATGCACGACGTGGAATTCTCTGGGACGACATTCGGAGAACATGTCCAAGCCACCGAAGTCGGTGTTTCAAGATGGTGACACCAATTGAATTATCATCTCTGTGCTCGAACACACGATGCCGAACCTCTGCATTACTGGCATGGTGTTGCCACTGAATGTCAGCAATCCTTCGGAGACAGCGATGATCGAACACGGAGAGTCGTCTAACGTCCTCAACTCGGAGAGGCCAGGTTTCACAAGCATAGAGCAAAACTGCTCTCACCGACGCGTTGTGGATCCGACCTTTTACAGCCAGACTAACATCACGAAGGCGCCAAAGGTGGCCCATATTGGCATAAGCCGCTCTGGCTTTCACTATTCATGCATTGATCTCATCACTCACACCCCCACCAGCACTTATGCAGCTACCCAGATACACGAACTTCTCGACTACTTCTATCTGCTCGCCATCCAGGGTGAGTACAGGATTAGAATCCTGCCAGTCTTGTAGAAGTACTTTGCACTTCGAAGGTGCAAAGCACATACCATACCTACGGACACTGATTGCCAACTGATTAAGTGCGGATTGCATGCCTTGGGCATTATCGCACAGTAAAACAATATCATCCGCATACTCAAGGTCGAGAAGTCTTTCTCCAGGCAACAGATCCACACCACCATTACTTACATTCATCAGAGCTGTTTCCAGAATGTCATCGATGGCAAAGTTGAAGAGGAATGGTGAGATTGGGCAACCCTGCCTAACCCCACTGCTCGAATGGAACAATGGAGAGAGGTGGTTGTATGCCCTCACTCTGCCTGAGGTGTTTTTATACAGGGCTTTCAGGATGTTAATAAACTTCTCAGGCACACCCTTCTTCAATAGACCATCCCAGAGAACAGTCCTGTCCAACGAATCGAAGGCAGCCCTGATGTCAAGAAACACTACGATTGTTGGCCTTTGAAAAGTATGGCGGTGTTCTAACATTTGGCGGAGGGTGAAGATATGATCAATACATCCTCGACCAGAACGAAACCCAGCCTGCTCCTCGCGAATCAATCTTTCTCGGGTTTTGAACAACCTACGAAGAATGACGGAAGCCAATAGCTTGGACGCAATCGGAAGTAAACTTATCCCCCGATAGTTGTTACAGGAACGACGTGAACCCTTTATAAAGATAGGGACAACTATCGACTCATTCCATGACGTTGGTACACTCTCTAGTTCCCAAACCTTCGTAAACAACGTCGTCAATTCCTTAGCCAGAAAGTCACTACCATCTTTAAAAAAGGCTGAGGGTAAGTCATCTGGGCCAGGTGATTTGTAACGCTTCAAGAGTTGGAGTTCCTTGCGGACTTCCTCCTCGTTTGGTGGATCAGTCGTCACCGGCCATGGAGAACAGGACAGTCTGACCGATGTTGCCGGAGCAGCAGGCCAGTTGAACTGCCCTTCGAAAAATTCTGCCCATCGTCCAAGACGTCGATGGATGTTAGTGATTGGCATCCCATCATCCTCGCAGATTGTTTCACTCACACCAGACTTCTTGCTGCCAGTGGCTCGGATGAGCTGGAAGAGCTTCCGGCAGTTACCAGATGCAGCTGCTGCTTCCAGCTCATTAGCACGCATCGACCACCAGGCTTCTCGGTCCTTACGCAAGCTTTGCCCAATTTCGTCACGTAACATCCTTCGTTTATGGTCAAACTCACGGTCACCCGGAGTAGACCGACGGGCTTCAATGAGTTGTAAGGAACCAGAAGAAACCCAGTGCTTAAAAGCGGGACGTTTCGCAAACCCACAACTGACTGTACCCGCCATTTTCATGGCGTCATGCAATTGCAACCAATGCTCATCTATACTTTTCGGTGGAGTGGTAGCTAGCCTAGAGGCTAGCTCGGTTCGATACTTATTTGCAACAGAAGTTGCAACCAGCTTGCTAATATCAATCCTTTGCTGGCGGTCACTTCGTTGTCCACTGAAAAGTAAGGCAAGATTGGCGCAGACCAAGGCATGGTCAGAGTCCAGATAGGTACTCCAAAAGGAGCGGCAGTCTTGTACACAACCACGCCAGCGGTAGCTGATCGCGATGTGATCAATCTGAGTCCAGGCTTGAGATGCGGAGGGAGGACGTCAGGTGGCACATCGGCGATGACTGTGCCGAAAGTTAGTGCTAGCCAGAAACAGGTTGTGGTCTGTGCACAGTTGCAGTAGACGGTCCCCGTTATCTGACCTGCGACCAACGAGTCCCCATCGGCCACCTAAACGACCCTCTTCTGTGCCTAGACGCCCGACCTGAGCATTCAAGTCTCCGGCTAGTACTACAATATCTGTCGAACGCACTTTCTGGAGAAGAACTGATAACTGGTGGTAAAACTCATCCTTGATTGCATCCGGGCTGCAATCTGTCGGGGCATAGGCGGAGATAACGAAAAGACATCGTTTCTCACGCCGATTTCTTCTCACTTTGATGGAACTTTCTAATCTAACAGGACATAACCGACTGTTAATGGGGATCCAATCGATTAGTGCTGCCTCAGCTCTAGCGCTTAGTGCGACACCAACGCCAGCAAGACCAGACGAAGATGCCACAGGGTCCCCGGATAAGCGCACGTAAAACAAGCTTTTCGAAGCGACAGATGGAGATCGAATTTGTAGTACTTCGCCAGAGTCTTGAATACGGGTCTCGGATAGACAACACACGTCGATATTAAGACTTTCCAAAGACATAGCCAGCCCTATCTGTTGTCCGACCTGCATAAATGTGCGAACGTTGAAGGTAGCCAGTTTGAATGGTGCACGTGGTTTCAGAAAATCTGCTTCAGTCCTCGTATTCGGTGGTAACATACAATTTTCAACCGGACAGTGACTCGAGAACGTTTAGATACAGTCGGATTTCCACCAAAGACGAGCCGCTGTATAAGTATAAAAGAGGGTGAATAATGTGGAAAATAATAATAATAATGATAACAATAATGACAATAATAGTAGTAATAATAATATTAGTATTAATAATGACAATAATTGTAATGATAATAATCTGAATCAATTGATTGTTTTTCAAAGCGAGAAAGGTAATTTCCATAGGCATAAAGAGTTCATCAATTTGTGATACTAAAGATCACATAGATATTCAGGGTTTGACTACGTCTTTGTACGCAACGCCGTTATAATCAAAAGATACCAACCCATTCAAACCAGAAGTCATGAACGAAAGAGTTCAAATATATAAATGGAAGGTTGTCTATATGTAGAGAATAGTTTGATCTAAACTGGTTAGTAGTTGTGAGGGTTGCGTAACCTGTGATCGCTATTGATGATCTGGAGCGGATGCGTGACCAGTCACCTTCATTAGGGTGTGCCCTGTAAAACTGATGCGGTCAACATTAATCTCGAAGTCTTACGGAACTATTTATCACGTAGATTCATTTACCGACACAACACCTACCCCCAACCTTTGGATATCGACCGAGGTAACTAGCAATAATAAAGTTATACAGCTAGACTTACTTCAATAAGCACTATTAAGGATCTGAAACCGTTCCTTAATATCGGAACATGAATTAGCGGCGAATCTCGGTTTCAGAAATGAGGAAAATTCAAGTGCTTGCGGAACGTTGAGGTAACGTATGGTTCTTTTAAGTCTTGTTTGGATTGCTGCACGCTCTTCAACATTTTCCTTGGATTTTTTCTCCGTATTAGGCTTCATATAATATCAAACCCAGATTTTTAGCTTTTGAAGTTTCAAAGAGTTGCATCTGTTTTTTTAAAAAGACGAGATTTTTTAATTATTGGATATTCTTATTACCTTCTAAATGTTGACGTTTGCCTTTACTTGCCTAGAGAAATTAACCTTTCTACACTTTTGGTCTCAGTAAGGAAAATAATTACATTTAGGAGGGAATCTGTCCACATTGATTTTATTTGCAGGTGGCAAAAATATCAATCATTGCGAGACTGTAATATATGAATATATATAAATACTTTCAAGTGTGTTGTGATGCATATCGGTCATCAAGGTACAGATACATACACGATGAATAACACTGAGCTGCCTGTCGTCCAGACGCATAATGACTTAGGAGTCATCGTTGACCAAGACGTAACGACTACTGCACACTGCCGTGCAATAGCCGCCAAACGTTTTAGAACCTTATGGTCACTACGTAGGGCTTTCAGTCATGTCGAAGCCAAAACGTTTTTGACTTTGTATACAGTGTTCGTACGTCCTAAACTTGAGTACTGCATACAAGCGGCTAGCCCCTGCTTAAAAAAGGACAGTGAGCTTCTGGAAAAGGTTCAGAGAACAGCAACTAAGCTGATTCCCGGAATAGCGAAGCTTCCGTATGATGCTGGACTGGTCAAGCTAAACCTTTTTCCGTTGTCATATCGTAGAACTAGAGGCGACTTGATTACAGTTTTGAAATTGCTTAGTGATAAATTTGTACCTGATATGCCCTCACTTTTCTTGTCTTCCAAAACAGAATTTACGAGGACACTCCAAAAAAGTTCACAAGCTCAGAACAAATTACTTGTCAGCTGACTATTGACTTTCCCATCGAATCATCAACGAGTGGAATTCATTACCTCAGCACGTGATTGAGGCTCCATCCATCGACTTTTTCAAAAGAAAGTTGGATCAAATGAGCGACCGCCATTACAAGGACTAACACAGGCCATCAGGCCTCCTGTCTTTTCCAAACTGCAACTAAAACTTATTCAACTGAGGTGGTTGTGACATATGTAACATATGCATGACCTCAGCCTACCTTGATGGACTATGTTGTCTGGTGTAGGAGTCGAGTGGGAGAAAGCTAAGTCTGGCCAATTGAAAAAATACCATCAGTCCATAAAGTCACTGACAACTGCACTGAGTTATATCAATAGGAGTAAATTACTTGGTTGGGGACCGTGTGATTGTCGTAACCAATGGTTAGACTCTGAGCGAAAACACTCAAAACCGCTTGCAGTGGTGCAGGTGCATCCATTCTTTATCCTCATTCAAATTCTGAGTTTCTCAGTCCCCTAATAACATTTTTCGTGTTTCATCTCACCCGTAGAAAACTAACTCGCTAAAAAATCGCTAACCAGAAAAAATTATCTCACCAATTTATATCTGTCTCTCAAATCATACCTTGGGTGCCTAATCTTTCTTATTACCACTGACACTGTTACTACCTTTACTATTCTGCGATTAGGTCTGGCAATTTCATCTCTCTTTGCTAACGGGGTATGGCAACTTGAACCGATGTACGAGGTTACCAGATTCTACTCTGTGATTGACTGACATATGGGTGAATAAACTTTGCGTTGGAATCCAAGACTTTCCCTCTTTAATTTCATTGGTCCCTCCATAAACTATAGTCTTATCGATCGAAACATTCACGTTTAAGTCAAACATCTCTGTTGTCATCGAGATCCCACGTTTTCGTCAGTTGGATTCTAAAATTAAATAACGGTTAACGATTAGAGTGGGTTTTGTGTAAAGTTGTTATTACGATTATGTTACAACATGAAGTGATACAGTAATTTTCGATAAAATTAACCGCTGAGTCTAGAAAACAAAAAGAGAAAGATTATCAGCGTAAATTATTACTCACATTCCTTTCTTGATAACGCTTTAGTCTATCTGTGATGCATATTTTAAAAGAAATCTTGCGTTGCGACTCAAATTTTAGCAAGGTGTCTTTTGTGTACACTGACTGATTTAAACTTCAATGTTAATGCGCCTGCCAAACAAATATTACAAAAACCTATTCCTATCTCATACCTTGGTAGAATCTAAATTGCTGAGCCTCCATTTATATGAAATTACAGGTGAAGTGAAATTGATGGACGACTCCGGTCCCATAATGTGGGGCAAAAATATCTCCTTAACGTCTTTGAGTTGTCGTCCATAAACTTGGTCTCCTTGGCCATCTAATATGTAAATGGATTGTAAAAAATCCGTGATCTTACAAATCTGTCCTTCATATCTTCTTGTTGAAGATATATTTCTAAGGTGTCAAATTCCTTGTTGTTTGACAGGGAAATGAAACTGTGATTGTCCGCTGATGTTACTTGAGAAACCATTTAGGGATACATTATTTGAAATGCACATCATCTGCTTAATATCAGCGTTCAGATCAGAGACCGCTGCTTCAAGGTTTTGTAAAGTTATATTCATTTTCGATAGTATATGAGTGAAGACAACCACACACGTAACTTACTCAACTAATTCACTGCCACTTGGCGTTGTTGCAGAAGCTGGTAGCTTAAAGCCTATCTTCGTTGAACTTTTTCATACAAATTTATAGGAATAATAGGCTTACTTAGCTACCAACAGTATAGGTGTTTCCATCAGTTTAAGCGTTGGATAGACAACCTTATTACTTTCAACTTGGATCTTGGCTACATCCAAATCAACTGAATCATTGATATAATTGGATTTCGTTTTGTGTTCCTCATTGTTAATAATTTATAGGATTACCATACTTATATACTAGGTTCCCTGGTCTGCGGTTACGTCTTTTTATCTTGCAGATTAGTGATATCATATCCAACTAGTTTACTAAATGAAGCAACTGAATCTTTAATTGCATAAAATTATCTAAAGGGATAAGTTTCTCTGTGTACAAGATCACACATATAACAAATCAGTTTCCATTCATATAGATTTAGTTCATTGTATGAAGGTCGAATATATTGTTAGGATTCATGCAGTAAATCGCATTTGTTATTAAAAATACTTGCTACAAGAAGCATCTGCTTCTTAATCGAAGCATTAATTACTGCAAAGATAGGAAACTATTTTTCGAATTTCAAAGCCCAAATATATCTAAAAACTCAATAAACTTCACGAAAAGGTATGTCGCAATAACGGAACTATGATTTTACTTTACATTGGTCACCAATATGCACTTGCATACTGTCTCACCAACGAAAACCCGTATGTGCTCGTGACTAACTACTGAGCACATAAATATACCTATGTCATCCGATGGGAAGGTTTCTGTGAAAAGGTTTAGGGTGTTAGAATGGAGTGCAAACTTTGCTAATCCGTTAACACTTCTGTAGTTAGTTTGGGTTTACCTTGGACAATTGCTTCATTATCGGCTTCGTTGGTGTAAACCTAGTATCCCGGCAAGTAATAATCCGTTCTCCAAACTCGTAAGTAACCACAATTTCAGCCGTAACAATAGATCGACTTACTTGCAACCTACTAAGGAAGGGGATCTGTTCTGCATAACGCTGAATAACTTGTTTGCTACAGAGTATTTGCAGTGTATTTTCCTTTTGGTCTGTTTCATCTAAGACTCAGAATAAAACTCTGAATAACATTTTGAATCATCCTACAGGTGTGAATCTCGAGACATAGATGAAATGGTCAACTATTTCCACATGCGGGCGAAAGAGGCGACATTTTGGTGCAATTTCGCTCATATTTCCCTCAATTTTGTCAATATTTCCCATTGTTTGCTTTGGGGTATAGTATTAACACAGTTAATTTTCCTAAATTACATCTATACAATAATTAATATCTTGGTATCAGTCTTAAGCTATGGTTGTTAGCTCCTGGTGGTACATTATATTAATTGTTATGAGTGAAAATCTTTAATATGTTTCGCCATTTTTATTACCACTCCAACTATTGTATTTGATTAATGCGAAGCCATTTAGATCCATTGATCACCCATGTTTTTGGTCAATCAGATACTGTTTAGATTAACTTGAATGACACGTTCACCATATAATTCTCGCTATATTTTTCGTCGTCAGCAAAAAATAGCTTAGAAGACTCATTCATACTCCCATATCATTTAGGGTGTAGCACGTTGTATTCCAGGTATTTTTTTGACACACCACAGTTAATGTTATGTATTAACCGTCATTTCTTTTTTTTGTTTTAGGATTGTGATAAATTTAGACAGGAACAAAATCTTCATTCAACTATCTCAACCTCCAATACTATAAATAACACAGCACAAGAAACCTTCAGTTTGTTATTTATACTATATGAGGTCTAAAAATTGATTTTGGGTTAACAACTCAGAGCGTTATCCATTTAAAGTGAATACGACAACTTTATATATCAACATTCTTTTATAGACTTTTTTTGGTTCAAAATGCCGGCAAAATTAATTCGTTCGATAAATCAGTATTTATATCCTCAAGATGAGATATTCATATTGATAAGACCTATTATTACACTAATTAATAATACTGTAGGAGTAGCTGCTTTAGCTATGCCATTTTGTTTTCATCAGGTATTTATTTTGTTATTCATTTGTGTTATAAAATTCAGTGTGGTATTTTATTATCATTTTTGTTTCTTGGAATTACTGCTGCATTTTCAATAATGTCATGCGATGCTTTAATTGATATCTGTTCTACTCACCGAGTCCTTCCATTTGAACATGCTTGTAATTTTAAATATTCTATGTAAATTTGAACTCTATAGGCTTTAAAGCATTAGGACATATGGGAAAAAGTTTAGCTGAATTAAGGTAAGCGTTGTATTATATTGGGACTTTTTAGTGTTATTTGTCTGTTGTTTGGTTACGTTGTAGGATATTATGTTACTATTGCAGACCTGAGCACTGGTGTTGTTTCACAAATCGCTGTAACTATGGTAAGCTTTACATAATGAATTAATTTAATGTAATTTATTTGCCATACCTATATACACAACTCCAAGCCATATGGATTGAGGGCTAATGATATTGCGTTGGTGTTGTGTCCTATGCTCTGTCAATCATATCACATGATAAATTCTACCGAATTATATAACCAGATCAATGACGCGTTAACCAGTACGAACAGCCTAGTACCAACTCTGAGTCCTGATTAGTCCTTCCTGTTTTAGTCCAGAACATAACTTCTACTGTATGGATCATGTATTTCATACATACTTGGTTTATATATAAGCAAATGAGACCGCACCATACCATAAAATATAAAATAAAAATCACACAAGATCAGGCCAAAAGTGGCTGTAACTAATAAATTGGGAATAACTTAATGGTAAATCGTATGACAGTAGTCAGTAGGTCAGAGAGAAGCTTATGATAGAAAGGATATAAATGTATATAGTTTAGTCATTTAACAGTTATACAATAAGAATATATGTATAATAACAGTTCATAAATAGCTCGCAGAAGTTACTCACAATTTAATCTCCTGATACAATACTTATTTTGTCATACATGTGCTTCTTAATGAAAGCATTAGGGTAGCCGATCTCGGTCAGTGAGTTGTTGATGAATTCAAGCTCCTGACTTAGAGTGTTTACTGTGCAGATCTTTTTAGCTCTGCTAGTGAGACATCTCACCAAATTTCTCTTGTAGCGGATAGGTGTGAAACTGCCGAAGTGAGTATATTGGCAGACAGAGGGGGTTCTTCTATACACGCTTCTGCTTAATGTGCCAACACTTTATCTGCTTAGTGAGACGTCAAGGAAGTTCAGCTCTTTGTCATACTCGCCTTTACCAGTGAAACCGATCGCTGGGTGAACACTGTTGAACTGTTCTAGGAGTTAATTCTTACTGATGTTTTGATCTACGATAATGAAGGTGTCTTCAATGTAGCGACAATATAAATCAAGTTTCTTAATAGTCTCATTAAGAGGTTCATTTTCCAGCTTCTCTAGGAAGAGATCAGCTAAAATCGGGCCTAGAGGCGAGCCCATGGCTATCTCATCTATTTGTCTATAATAAGTATTGTTGAAGACAAAATGTAAATTCAGCGTGCATCTTAAGAGCAGTTCTTTTAGACTATCGTCAGGCAAGTCAATGTTGATTTGTTTTTCTGATATTTGCTTGCACATAAACTTAATAGTCTCTACCCGACCGTTGTTGCTACCTTGACGTGGTGGTCGGGCTTGCCTATCGTGATGAAGCGACCGAGCTATACTGGCTGGAACAACCGTTCCTCAAGGTCCTACCATGTCAGACAGGTCGGTTGAAGAGCGGTAAGACTAAAAGCAACAAACCCAAGGTCCGAAGGCGAAGTCGTACTGCTGACTGTACAGAGGTGTGACAGCAGTAAGGTGTTTCCTTCAGACAACCAGCATGACAGCGATGCTACCTTCCCACAAGGAGGGGTGGGGTTAGAAAAGGTCGACCCTAAAAATGCACACCTCACCTTACCTCACGGATTTCCGTCTCCGGCGGTAAGGCCCTTTGAAGAACGGAGCTAACACGTCGAAAACCTTCCACGAAAGGGCCGTGCGCGACCGGCCTCAAGCAGTTGTCCCTTGGGCACTGCGGTCACGCTCTCAGGTCACTGAGACCACCTCTAATCCAATTTCCTTTTCAGGTACCTCCAGAAGAACCCTTCCACGGTGTGGGCAACCGGGAAGTGATAACCGCCCTCATACCTCTAACAGCACCCAAGACTGACTAATAGTCTCTATAAGTGGTACGTTAGTGAACAAAGATCCTACATCCACTGAGATCATATTTTTTATACTAACATTAATATTTCCCACTTTGGAGGTGAATTCGAAGACATCTTTTACACTATTTCAAACAACTGATATGTGTAAAGGTTCTAAAATTCGTACTAGCCACTTTGCAATTTTATGGTAAGGAGAATTGTACATATCTAGAACTGGGCGTAGAGAAAGACCCGGTTTATGAACTTTAGGCAAACCATACAGTCGTGGTGTAAATGATCCAGTCGGCTTAATTGAATCATGAATCTCAGTCGTAATTATTCCCTTTTTCTTTAGATCCTTAAGGAAGTTAGCCAATTTTCTTTCTACTTTATTAATGAGACTATTAAGAAACTTGATTTATATTGTCGCTACATTGAAGACACCTTCATTATCGTAGATCAAAACATCAGTAAGAATTAACTCCTAGAACAGTTCAACAGTGTTCACCCAGCGATCGGTTTCACTGGTAAAGGCGAGCATGACAAAGAGCTGAACTTCCTTGACGTCTCACTAAGCAGATAAAGTGTTGGCACATTAAGCAGAAGCGTGTATAGAAGAACCCCCTCTGTCTGCCAATATACTCACTTCGGCAGTTTCACACCTATCCGCTACAAGAGAAATTTGGTGAGATGTCTCACTAGCAGAGCTAAAAAGATCTGCACAGTAAACACTCTAAGTCAGGAGCTTGAATTCATCAACAACTCACTGACCGAGATCGGTTACCCCAGTGCTTTGATTAAGAAGCACATGTATGACATAATAATGAAGTTGGAGATTTCGACTGTTCGTAACAATACTTATTTATTTAGACACATAAACATTGGTACAAAGGAGCACTAAAAATGTATATGACCCACACAAATCATTCAATTTGTGTGTGTGTGATGGGATACTGTTTTGATGTACAAACCGAATTAGGGTGGTTTTCTTAGAACGGGCCACTCAGTCAACACTTCACATAGAAGTCTAATCCAAAAAGGCAGTGGAGCAACGTTAAGAGATACGGTCCTATGGTAGTCGGTCACCAAAAATGAATTTACATGCCATTTGTTCTTTCAGGATTGTGGAGGCTATGTGCACCATTAATGTGGAATTAGGATTTTCCAACTCCCTTACGTGGGTCCTCCTCCTGGCTGGGGTCTTAGAGATTGTGCAACAGTGGCTAGAGACGTTATCAAATATGACTGAGAATAGAAGCCAGTGACGATCCTGCTATAACTTCTTTAACTGAAAGAATTCTTTATGGTTGTATTTTTGCTAACTGAACTGTTATTATTATTTCACTCTCATACACTAATTTTTGTTCGTTGTTGTTCTTTTTATTATACGCACTTTACATTCTCTATCTATGCACAACCTCATTGTTATTGTATGTCGCATATGTATTTGGTGTCCCCTTGTACCAATGTTTGTGTTCAGATAAATAAATAATTCACGCGCAAGGCCAAAGGTCCTGAGTCCAATTTTCTGTTTCGTAGTCGTGAATTCTCATTATTGAGAAGTCCTATACTAGATAGGACAAAAAGGCCGTTCAGTACTTCAAAGTATCTAATGCTTTTCTAATTATGATCAGTTCATGCTTTTGATGATCCTCTATATATGCCATTATTAATTATTTTTTTAAGCACATAAATCATTCGATTTGTGTAAGGGCTGTGATACTGCCCGGGTTCCCAAACCGAAACAGGTGGTTTTATTAGGAGGCCACATCCGGAACCTTTGACTTAAGGGTTTAATCTGCAGGATAGTGGAGCAATGTCATGAGATGCAGTTCCATGGTAGCGGGTGACCAATAATTGGTTCATACTCCATTGGTTCCTTCAGAATACTGGAGCCCATGTACATCGTTGGTTTGAAATCAGGGTTTTTCAACTCGCCTAGGTGGACTCTCCATGTCCATCAACCCGGTTTCCGCACCGGACACTCGCTTTTCATCCTAGATATATGCCAAGTTCCTCAGTACTTTATGGTAGCTGATTTGGAACTGCTCACACAAGACTGAATTATTGATGTAATTCGATAATTGAACTGGTATCAAATAATGAGAAATTTTTCCAGTAGAATAAACTTTTCTATTAGAATAGCTCGTTTATATACAAAATGTTGAATATGAGCCTAAATATAATTTGAAGTTATGTAATAAATAAATAATTGATGGTTATAACAATGATAAGTAATTAATCAATGAATCTTCCAATAGAATTAATGACTAACTATAAGATCTAATTATTATCCTGTCTCATATATTACAAACCTATCTCATTAACAATGCAATTCATGAATTAAATATAACTAACTCATGTTTACTAAACCTTACATCGTGTTTATTTTTCTTTTTTCTTTCTTACTAAGAATATAAGTACTTTCACTATACATACTAGAGTAGTAGATACAAAGCTCAGATTCATAAACGAAATAATTGAAAATTGAATATATAATAGTTTAAATCATTCAACATGTTGTTTATTTCTGTATGTCTAAACATTTGTTATCAGTATAGGATTGTGAAGATCGTTGAGTTTTAATTGAGATTATGAATTGATCAATTAAACCACTATTGAAAACGTGGAAGCATTAGGTGGCCATTTTGTCTTAGTATGGGACTCTTCAAAAGTGCGCATCCACGATCCCTCAGAAGGGATGCAAATCCATGACCTTCAGTCTTGCGTGCGAATGCCTAACCGCTAGACCACTGAGCTGGCATCCAATAGTGTTAATGTCTAACTCCAACCAATCCATGATATTTGGCGACCATCTTCCGTTGTCATCGGTGAATAACCACCTCACACTCAACACAGGTTAGTTCCACTGGTCACGGCTTCTCATTAGAACTTCGAGAATGACCTCTTAAAGCTAGTCCCTAGTGAGCACATGATAATTATCAGTATGGGATTGTAAAGATTGTAAAGTTTTTTTATTGAGGAGTCTCATACTATGACGGAAAATCCATCCACTACTTCTAGGATATCAATATTGGTCTAACATTGATCGATTCATGATCTTAATTTGAAAACAAATAAATATTCATTAACCTTTTAAAACATTTTTACATTAGGATGATTTTTTCTCTCTTTCATTTCTTCTCTTCTATATTATTTAGCCAACTCATCAGCTTCGATTTATTCTACTAGTGACGTTTACAGTTACTTTAATACCGCTTTGTTTAGTTTCAAAAGTTCAAAGTTTACTTCGATTGAATGTATTTACAAGTCTGTTTTATGGTGTAGTTACTTTTCATGTAAGTTCTATACAAAAAATGAATAAAACTATTCACCTGATTTTTTCATATATGCCAAGATTAACTTGAAGGAATTAGGTTGATAAATTAGTGCTTACAGTCAGTCACTGAGTTATCTACAACATAGGACCGGGTACATATATGTATGGATCGGTCCAATTTGCCATACCTCATTAGCACAACAAGATGTACATCAAAATCATAGAAGTAGTTACTTTAATGGTACAGAAAGAATTAGTTCGTATAAAGTAATTTTAATCTCACAGTTTGAGGGAATACAAAGAGTGTACACACCCATGTCATTGTGATTGATTCTGAGCCGTGTCACCCAAAGTCTCCAACTATTGGTTACGATAGTCACACGGACGCTTACCAAATAGTTTGCATCTACCAACATGGCTCAGAGCAGAAGTTAGTGACTTTATGAATTGATGCCACGTTTTGGTTTGGCCGCCCCTGACTTTCTTCTATCAGTTTCCAACACTAGTGAGCATTTCGCGCTCCCTAATACCCCGAGCCTAACCTCTCTACTACATACCCAGTGGTCCTAGCGGATCCTAGCAATATTTCTTAGACTATTAGTACTTACAGTTTTTGTAATATATAACTGTGTAATATATTTTGCTTCATTTGTACAATGAACGTATTGTCAAGACTAGTCTTGCATAAGCCTTTTAATATAATATTCCATTCAATGAATGCAAAGAGATGATTAAGATTGTGTTATTTTCTACGATCGTCCAAGTCGATTAGTGATGTACAAGCTTCCAATAGGCTAACCCAACCAGATACCTGAGTAAGCAAACCATGATTAAACAAGAAGCTTTTATTGTTTCAACCAAATAGACTATATATCCATAACTCATTTATGAATATAGATACATATTCCACAAAAAATTAAGTTGCACTTTTAACCCATAGCATGAGTCTACTTCCTCAGAAATTGAACCTAAATCATTTCTCATTGATCATTTGCGTTATATCTGATTGACTCAGTATATCAGATTGATTAAAAATTTTCAGAATAATTATGGCTGCTTACAGTTTACTTATCAAGTAAAACTTTATGTACTCAACTCTAGACGGTACTTTTAGTGAAAGCTCTTCATACTGTTCATTTGGCTAAACCAAGGTAAATGAAGAAGTATATGAGGGTTAGAACCTTTAACCTAGAGACTTGAAAAGCAAGTTATTTAACCGCTAAACAACTTGTTCAAAGCATGGCATGTTGAACTTATAACTCTCAACTGATTTAAACTAAGCTATAATCTTTCATTTCAAATCTTGACTACAACAAGACTTCGTTTATACGATTTTTATTTTGAAAGCGTTTTCGGTCACTTAAAATATACAAATCCTCACATGTCATTCACTATTAATCTTCAGATATCAGACCATTGGCTCTATAATCTATGAATCACTATCAATAATTAACACTATCGTTTACTAAAAGTGATTTATGAACTACACTATATAGATTTAATTATTCTTCACTAATCAATGTAAGTGCGTTCTTGGATCAGTCCTTACAATAACATCACTTAGTTGTTATCCAATTAACTTAGTAAAAATACTGTCTCTGGAGTAGTACCATGTGAGTTATTCGCCTTTTAGAACAGTATGAAAGATGTTTGAAATACAAGTAAAACCGATATATCTAGCCGATCTTTACGTTTAACTACTATTCAGTCATAGTGATCTCGAGTGTTACTGTTGGTTTGTGAACAGCTGCCACTTCCCTGTGGAAAGATACTTCCTGAGTAATAACCTGTAAAGGAAACTGGGTTATAGGTGATGGTCTTGACGATACAGCAACTTGACTACAGAGCTCAAGGAACAGCTGCATGAGGTAGGTCACACAGCGTGTTTGTACATGATTTTTTGATGTTTTAGCTCCGTACTTTAGCATCGACAACAGAAGTCCACGAGATAAAGTGAGGCGCACTATTTTTTGGACCAACATTTTTTACCACCTGTTATGAGAATGTGACACCACTGTAGATGATAATTGTCTGAGAGAAACACCTTACTATCGTCACATCTTTGTGCGGTCGGTATTTCAACCCAACCTTCGAACTTTAAATATATTGCATTTAGATTTGACTGCCCTCCAACCAACCTAGCTATGATCATATAGGACCTTCAGGAACGATTATTTCAGTCAATATAACTCAATTAGATCCTCACGATGTCCAAACTTGACTGCCACATCAACGTGTAGCAACTACGGTCAATTTAACCACCATTAAGTCGGTTTTATATTTTGTATCATTTGAGAATTTACGCCCAATGGACTTGGATTTTGTAACCAACCTTCAAAAATTATTAATTTTTATGAAAACAAAAAATTTATTTTCTGTTCAGATGATTTTTATACTTGGTCTACCTCGATTAATTTCCAATATGCCTTGGGAAGATATGAATTGGTGGAAACCAGCTGGTCTGATTGAATGTATTCCTATATTTTTAGCTTCAATGTTCTGTCAAACGTGAGTTGTTTTTTGCAAATTTCATTTCTATCTCCAGTAAAATTGATCATTACTACAATAACAGAAAAAAACTCTAAAGCTGCGTCTACTAAGTTGACCGACAAAGTACTATTCACTAATTTACTTTGATAATGACTTGGATTTCATCTGTTCTAATGTATACTATTCACTATGTTTGTGGGTGTCACAGCTCATACGTTCTGTGCGCAACAGTCGTTTATTGCCACTAAGAATTGCTAATTTAGCGTTATTGTGCTTTCATAATTTACATCACGAACTGATCTTAAGTACCCACTGAAGAGCAGGAAGCACTAGACAGCTCCTCGACAATGTCTATCCACGAGCTCGCCAGCGGTCGAACCTAGAGTGTCGGATCTTTTGATGAAGGTTTAAACTCTGGAGGATTGAGTCGGCGTCCAGCGGTTCATATGTGGAGCGGTGGTTCTGTGGTAACGCTCTGGGCTTGTAATCACTAAGTTCCATGTTCGAACTCTGCCCCACTTCGATTGGAACAATTGGATAGTATCACTACTAGACATTAAAGTATAACTTGCGGTCAATTATACCAGTTTATACCTGATAAGTCGTGTAGGTTGAACGCTATATACGGTTCCTAAGCTATTTCGGTAACCCGCAGTCTAGAACTACACAGCGACTTGAACTCCAGAGAGAAGACACAAGAATGAGAGAAAGCACTTTATTCCAAGGTTCATTTTTGTACAGAAAATCATGGGTATTTATAGATTTTGGCGTCTGTTAAATCAACATCATTTTACAGCCAATCCGATAACAACACATTATGCTACCGACCAATAATAGCACGCCACGTTGGAATTCTAGAACGTTCCATCACACTCTGATTGGCCAGGACTCTTCGGCTCCTTGTGGGCCTCTGGAGGCTCCGTTGAAGTTCTCCGGAAGCCGACCCAACAATACCTATAAGCCAATTGAATAAATTCAGTTTTTCCATTTCTGTTGCTTCAGTTTTTAATGTCGTTTAAGAATTTTGTATTATGTTAACAGTTATAATTTCCTGTCACCTGTTTCACCTAAAAAAGTGAACCAACTAGTAAACAGCAAATAGTTTCTGTCTTAATTTAACTGTCGCGCTGTACACACACACACACTAGATACTTAGCAAATATAAAAAAACATAAGTAAATGTGTCCGTATTCCACGTTGCTTTAACTAACTGAAGTAGAAATAAGGTCCGTTTAGTATGAGAATCGTTTCGTTTAACGCCTACTTGTACAAGTTTTTTCCTTAATTTCAAATTATGCATAGTCAGATTATTCAGTAAATCTATTTTGTTGATAATGTATAAATAGACAATTGTTTAGAGATATTGTATCGATAGATTTCCTAAATAAAAGTAGGTTATAACCTGTGTTAAGTTGCAAACTACAACTTTAGTCATCTTATATACTCAGTTATGTTCTTGAATAACGCCGAAAATCCTGACGAATGTGTTTTTTTAATGCTTCTTCAGTTTGTAGTGAACTTACTTCTACCTGTTACCCCTCTTGAGTCATAGGCCGCTAACTAGCTCTGTCCCGGACTCTTCTTTGCTCTTGTTGCCAAGTTCTATTCATGGTTTTGATTTTTACCTCCGAGTCTTGGAGCTGTGTGTTCTATGGTCCGTTTCTTTTCTTTTCGTCTTGAGAATTCCAGGTGAGGATTTGCCTTAAGCGGCTTGATAGTTTCAGTGTTTGTTTAAACCACCTCCGGTGTCTCTTTCTGATTTCCTCCTCAATAGGCAGCTGGTTGTACTCTCTGCTCTATTGGGTTGTTGCTGATGGTGTCTGACCAACGGACATTGAGTATCTTGTGTAGAAACGTTTTTATAAATATTTGTACCTTTTTGGTGATGGTTGTAGTAGTTCTCGAAGATTTAGCTCCGTACAACAGGATTGAAATGAATTTGGTATTGTGAATTGTGACTTTGGTGTTGTCTAGTATTTGTTTTGAGCTCCAGATGTTCTTCAATTTGAGGAATGCTGCCTTCGCTTTGCTAATATGTGCCTTCACATCTGCATCAGATTCCCTTGTACATCAATGATACGACTTATATACGTAAAAGGCTCCATCTCATCCAAAGCTTCACCAAGTGCGACACACCCTTTATTGTATTTCAGACCGCAGTCTACCAGAATGCATAACATGACTTACAGTACAGTCATAATTAAATGTTAAATATCACAAGTTCATTCACTTTGTTTCATCTTAAAGCAAGATGTAAACCTGGTTCGCGTGATATGCTAGATATCTACTAACTAAAATCTTAGATAGTTCCTCCACTTATTCACAGTCATAGATTCAAATGAATTCACTACAATCAAAAATGTTTTGTTCATTCATCAGTGTCCTGATGCGAGTAGAGGCGGGTGCGCTCTCTCACGAAAATGCTCTCTTATGGCCATGCATATATACCCACTACCAGAGAAGTCCTGCTCACTGCCTTTTTCGTGACAAGGGTGTTGTTTACAAAACAGAGAACGAAAATCGAATATCCGACGTTCAAACCGGATCAATAATTGATCACTATTACATATTTTATTTACCTTCATTAAATGCATTTCATCTACTCAGTTTCAACATTTATTACAACATCGTCTGTATTGTGTTATTTCTCATTTTAAGATTCCTTAAAATTGTTATTCTAATCGTCACCACTGTACAGTTTAGATTACAGACTGACTTCATTTAAACAGTCACTGGAAACCATGAAGCATTGAACAACTGAAACATGAGCCTCAGATCTCTTGACGTTTTGTAGAGAAGTCATAACCAACGCAGTTCAACCATATTAAGTATCAGGCAGTAGTTATCCATTTCAATTGGATTTAGATTAGTAGTCACGTAATATCGTGGATTGATTAGACTTGGGAAATGTCAGCTAATAAAAGACTCAATCAATAGTCTGAAAATTGAACATTCATCTCAAGACTCAAAGTTTCTTGGTTCAATCCTCAGTCAACCTGTACATGTTCACTTCTTCTCTGTAGTAGTCCCATTTCTAGAACAAAACAGCTACCATCCAATACGAGTGTCTAGCGTTTAATAATGGTTTAACTGTGTAAACCAACAACAAAAAGAAAGATTTCAACAATCTTCATGTACTTTTTATTATTAATCAAACTAATTTTATTATCATATTCTCTTCTTTTTTTCTTTTTTTTTAGACAATTACACATCACATCATCTAAATCTTTTCAACCAACATTATCAAATATGCGATTGATAGTTCGTGTTGCATTGATTACAGTGGCTATAGTTTATGGATTTGTAAGTTGTTATTCGTTTGCTTGTTGAGTTCACGAGTTGATCTAAGCTAGACCACTATTCAAAACCTAGAAGCACTGGTCGGCCGTTTTTCGTTCTAGTATGAGACTCCTTAGCAGTGTGCATTCATGATTCTGCGCGGGAGACTGAAGGTTCTAAAATCGTGGATGCACTCTGCTGATGAGTCCCATACTAGGACGAAACGTTCGTCCAGTGTTTTCAGGTTTTGAATGGAGGTCTAGCTTAGATCAACTCATGGATACAATTTAAAAATCATTCTGATCAATTTATTTGTATACTTTGTAATATTTTATAATAATTTGTATCTTGACAGATTTATACAACAGTCGGTGTTTTCTCCACGTGAGAACACAATTCATACAGATTTGTAAATTTTATTTTGAAATTGAAACTAAGAGGAAATATGTCTTTGAAGAAGCGTGTAGAATATTTGATGATGCCATATTTGTCAGCTTGTTGTATGCATTTAACTGTTGGATTGTTTATGAAAAGTAATGGCTTGGTCATAGTCACTAGTTCGAGTACCATTGTGATGAAATTGAATCAATGTCAATTTACTATAGTTAATTAAATAAGGTTTTGATTGGTCACATCATATTTTGTTACGATTGTTCATCATAAAGTTGACTTTACATCCACTGACAGGTATCAGGTGGTGAATGGTTGAAAATCTTGGAGGAATTGAATCCCAGGACTTTTAGGTCTTATAGTAACTTAGATACTACTCAGTCGCAGAATCGATTCATACACATTATTGATTTCAAATAACAGAGCATGAATGACTGGTTAAACCTCAGTCGTATTGGTAGTGAGAGACAAATACAATCAGTTAATATCGATAAATGGTTGTGTTTTGTCATAAACGAAAGAAAGTAGATCATTATTCAAATGGCTCAATAGTTGTGTCATGCTCATTGCGAGATCTGAAGCTCATGGGATCACAATACTTGGAACGATTGTGTGGACGTGCATCCATTGGCGACGGGTTTCATACTAGGACGAAGCAACAGTTGTTCAGTGCTTTTTGATTTCCAGTGGCTACTCAGTTGATATCATTCTGTTCTTTTCTGTACCTTTATGTCTTATGCTGAGCGGTAAACCTCTAGACTACTGTGTTTTTACACGAACTGCCAAAACTTAAAAAATTATCAACAAATCCTCTCAGTTCATCAGTCAGCTACAAAGTAGGACCAGGCACATATTTGTATCGGTCCAAGTTGGTTTGGTGCAGGGGGTCGCCATGTTAGACGATGTCTCTCCTTATGCTTAAAATTTGTGTTTGCTAAAAATAAACGATTGTTTGAGCACAGTTGCAGCAGACGATCACCATTATCTGTTCGTTGTGTCGGAATACTAAAATACCCACCTAAATGTCTTTCTGTTTAGTTTAAAGTACCTATCTGGGCATTAAAGTCACCTGCTACGAGTACTATGTCTGAACGTTTAGTTTTCTGAAGAAGTTCAGATAGCTTTCTGTAAAATTCATCTTTCACTTCATTCGAGCTGCGGTCAGTGGGAGCGTAGGCAGAAATGATAAAGAGGCAACGACGTTTGTCCCTATCCTTCCGAGCTCTTACGGAGTCGTTTAGCCGAACAGCTCATAGGCGAATGTTAACAGAGATCCATTCTATTAGCTCTTGTTCTGCCCTCATGTGCTCACTAGGGAACCATTTTCGAGAGTTAACTCCCAGATTCATACTGGGAGAATGTAATCAGTGGAATCCAGCCGTCTTGAATGTGAGACAATTATCACCAATCACAGTCGACAATAGTTGTGTAACATCAAGAATATTGACGAAAGCTAAAAAAATGTAAACCATTGAATATTAACTTACTGGTTTAAAGGCTGTGTTCATCGCAAAATCTGAAAGTCGTGGATTCGATATGGTTGTGGAGCGCTATGTTGACGAGTCCCGGAATAAAACAACTATCTAATGTTTCCCAGTCTTAAACAACTGTTTAATTCCGACTAATTTGTGATACAAACCACAAGAACTTCATATTTAGTGTTTATCATAAGTTTTAATTCATTATTATTATTTTTATCATTGTTTCTGTCTTGTTGTATAGTTTGGTTTCTTTGGCTACGTAGCATTTATTAGTTCGGAAAGGACAATATTTTCCGGTAACGTCTTTCTAATGTATCCAGATGATTTACGTAGTTTCTGTATACGTGTTGGATTTCTACTAACCAACATTGTCTCTATACCGCTGATTATTTTCCCATTACGTCAAACTGTATACAATTTATTATGTCAAAAAGTAAGTCGGTGTATTTAATTCATCCTATCCATTTTATTACTCCCCTAACAACATTAATTAGTCGTATTATATTGGACGAGAACACAGGTGGGGACAACCAAATGTATTTTAATATAACATTACAGAATATCTTAGTAAAATCTGAGAACCATACAGTAAATACTTCATTCGTAAAATATCCATCAATTGTCTCCAATTTTGTTTCCATAACAATCACTCTCTGTTCTCGTTCTCTTCGATTTTCTTAATCTTCTGCCGCCAGAAATTCCACTCTCGATTGGTGATGCCTACTACTTATATCTGTCGACATCAGCAGCACACACCACAGTATATGTACGTATGTCTGTATATGCTCTGACTATACTGGTATCGACCTTTTATTTGTGTAATTAGAAAGACTTTCATAAGATAGATGACTGTCAAGTTATTGACTGACTTGAATTTCAACTATTCTATTTAAAATAATAGGGTACCGTTTTGGGTGTAGTAACCAATTGTAGGTTAATGTACTTGTTATGTGTGCTCCCTATACTGTCGGATATAACTAGTATGTAGTCGCGATCGGAAGTGGAATGCCTAACAGCAAAAGAGAAATAACAGAAAGGAAATCGGAGAGGAATCAAAATAATAATAGAATTAGACGAATAATGGGGTATTAGGTAAAGGACAACGCAAAGAAGCTGTACAAATAATATATTGAATGTATGATTTTCATATTTTACTAAGACGCTGTTTAATTTTGTATTGAACAATATATTGGTTATTCCTACAAAGTCTTCGTTCACTACATACTGATCTTCAAATCGTATTTTAATTATGAGAAATAAAGATACTACAACTGTATATTTACTCAAGCCAAAGTGAAAAATGTGCGCAGTTCAAATATGTAAGCTAATGTCGTAATGTTCTTTTAGACATGTGGTATCATTTCAACTTGATTCAATAAAGCAGTCAATGCGGGAATGAAATGTTTTTTTTACGTTAGCTGGTTAATAGTAGTCAGTCGGCAGACGATTCTGCTTAGTCTAGGCTTTTTACTGGTTGTCACTCATCAGTAAAGGATGCCTAGAATTTCAAGAAATATTGAATCTTATAAAAGAGCACCAGTTTCCTTCAAAATTTCAAGTGTATCAACTAACACGAAACACAAGTGTAGAGTGTCTAGTCGGCTAATAAATAAACCGATTGTATCTAATTTCAAGTCATTAGTGATTACATCAAATAGAACTCAATCATTGCTAAGGTCTAAACGGATATAATATTTATCACTACTCAGTGATCACTCAATTAAAATGAAATCTTTTGTGTCACATATACCATTGAAAATGTACACCTTTATTGAATATTCTTCGTTAATATTTCAGTCAGTCATAGACAACGTGAAAAACTCAGCATAAATTTGTATTGATTCAAATTGTTACACTTAATGTCAGCACAGTAAGAAAAATGTAATAATGATAAAAAGCAACAGTTAACAAAAATGTTGCACAAGATCATGGATCGATTGTGAGTTCAATCCGTGTCAGATGGAGATAGTTATCCACCTCAGAAAATGATGAAGGGTTACGCAAGATCATGGATCGATTGATAATACTTTTAAGTTTTCAATAATGGTCTTTCTTAGATCGACTCATGAATTTGACTAGTAAAAAATAAGCGTTAAGAGAAAATTCAGTTACTAAGTCTTAAGCATCAGTAATCGTTACATAACAACACAAAGATAACTTAAAATTATGTAAAATAAAATTCTAAAAAGTACAATATACAAATGAGATTCGAAGAGAGAAGGAAAAAACTAAACCTAGAGTGATGAGGAAAGATAGATCAAATTGGGAATTGATAATAATGGCAATAATAATGACCCTCTCCGATGCCATGGTGCTGCCGAGATTGGGGTGAGTCAGCTCTCCCTCTCGAAATGCTTTCACATGACCACACGTATATACTCACTGCCTTCTCGCGGTGAGGGTTTTGTTTACACCGTTCAGATTGAGTTGGTGGAAACAGAGAACCCATGTAATGGAGTTAAAAAATTCTGATTCCACATCAATGGTGCACATGGACTCCAAGGTCTTGAAAGAACAAATGGCGTATAAACCAATTGTTGGTCACCGGATACCATGGAACCGTATCTGTTTACGTTGCTCGATTGCCTTTGTAGATTGGGCCTCTATGTGAAGTGTTGGCTGAGTGGTCCGTTCTAAGAAAACCACCCTAATTCGGTTTGTACATCAGAACAGTATCCTATCACACACATAAATTGAATGATTTGTCTAGGTCATATATATTGATACCCGTTTGTACCAATGTTAATGTTTTGAAATAAATAATCACTTTTTTCAATGTGACACGTTTAGTGTAATAATATTGAGATTTTTGGAATAAAATGTATTTCAACACATTCCTCTTAGTCTCTTCCATCACTATATTATATGTGTATACATAAATGCTGAAACTAAGTGAATTCAATTCACTTTAATAGTTTTGTTAACCAATTGATTTGATATTTTGTAGGAACCAATCACAATGACCGCAACAGTGACATTCTTATTCTCTTCTTTTAGTTTCTATCTTCTTTTCAGTGTTCACTTTTCATTAGTACTACAATAAAATATCAATATCATTCTGCTTTTGTTTTTTTTTTGTTTCCAAATCATACCCCCCCCCACACACACACAAACACACCACTGTCCACTCGTTTTGATTGTCATTGTTGTCTATGAACTTTGATAAATTCTTATAGCTTGTTTTTTATATAGTACAAAATATTTTAGATGACGAGACTGTAATTGATGGATGACCTAATTAGATTTAAGATAACAAGTCCTGGATTTTTGATGTGAAATTCCTTCATTCATTCATATGGATAAATAACATCAGGATATTATAACTGTATTCAGTTCATGATGAAAAACCCTTTTTTATATTTTTATTTGAACACAGATATTGGTACAAGGAGGCATCAAATACATATGCGCCACACAAATCTCATTTGATATGTGTGAGGGCTGTGATACTGCCGGAGTGCCCAAACTTTTAAATTTTACTCTTAATACTACTTTTCCTCACACTCATTTATAACCCTATTTAGTAAGCGGACATTTTCAAGATCACTTAATCATTGCTCAATGATCGTTCAATAAATGATAGTCTCATCTTCCAGAGGTTTTTATACTGTTATTTACATGCATGAACTCTAATGTATATAGTAAGCCAATCAGAAATGACCTAGAGTACAAATGTATATCATTGACTAGAAAATGAACTGATTTTCTAAGGGATTGAAATGTACGAAGTTATGCCACTGTATACCATTGTCTTCAGTGAGTTGATAGACGGATATCTCGCCTTCACCACAGGTGATGTGAGTTGGCGAAAGCCAAACGATCTTTCTGAATCTGTGTAGTGATTTTGTCAGACACCGACCCATTAGGGTTGTCGAAGATAAGTGAAGTTGCCGACGCATTCGACTACTTCTCTCATTATCCTTAGTTGACGTAGGCCAGTCCTGAAGCAACAATTTACATTTAGAGGGAGAGAAACTCATCTCAAACATCCAGGCATTGTTACTTAGTGTCACTGATAAGCTCAACCTATCTTTCTCTCTAAAAACAAGCAGTGTTATTCTACGATTTTATCGTGTTAATGATTAATATTTTACAAACAATAAAAAGTATTTTATTTCTTAGGAATTTTTATGGCAAATCCGTTTTCTTTTCTCTCTCAAAGAGATTAACTTCATTTGGTGTGGATTTGGAAATCGATTCAACTATGATTTCTGAAGAAGTTCCAAGAAGGTTTATTCAAAAAATCACTATCTCATTACTACTTGTCTCGTTTCTTCTCAGTTTAACTACGGATAAAAGTACTTTCAAATGTTTTATTTTATACAGTATTTTTGTTATTGTTTTCAATCTATCTTAGACAATGTAGACCAATTAATAGTTTATCTGAAATGCTATGGATCAGTAGCGCTTAATAGTTAAAGAGGTTCAACTTATAACGCCACCAAAACCAGGATTCGAGCTTCACCTTGCCTATTTCGTTCTTGACAACTGCGTAGTAGTATCATTAGCTCTCACACTGAGTGTGGCTCATACCTGATTGCTTGGTAAATGAGTTTTTTATTAACTATTATCGGTCCAAGTTCTTAAGCACTGAAATAACATAAGGAAATGAAATCAACAATATGCGCATAGCTATGGAGTCGGAATAATAGTAGGAGTAGAAGAGATAGTAGTAGTAGTGGTATTACTTCCAGAGAAGTCCTACTCAGTACCTCCACACGAAAAAGACTATTGTTTGCAAAGGTGAGAGAACGGAAAGCGAATATCTGATACCATGAGCTCAGTTAGTTTGGTACAAATGATTGCGAAACCCCGTGATTTCAAATCAGTGGGAGTACATGAGTTCCTTGATTATAAGTCAGCAAATAGCTAACAAGCTTACTTTAGGGTATCAGCAACAGCCTTCGCTGGGCGAGAACAAACCAGCTTCCAGCTGAAGAAGAAATCAGGAAAAGACGATGGAAATGGATAGGACATACATTACGCAAATCATCAAACTACATCACGAGGCAAGCCCTAACTTAAAATCCTGAAGGGAAGCGGAAAAGAGGAAGACCAAAGGATACATTACGTCAGGAAATAGAAGCAAATATGAAAAGGATGAATAACAACTGGATGGAGCTGGAAAGGATTGCCCAGGACAGGGTTGGATGGAGAATGCTGGTGAGCGGCCTATGCTCCTTAACGAGGAGTAACAGGCGTAAGTAAGTAAGTTGCTTTAGGGTCATCGGTCAACATGAGATTACATCTTCCCTGAGATATGGCAACTTGGACTGATGTATATATGTGCCTGATCCTATGTTGTAGCTGACTATCTGACACCTCCCCCTGATATTGCTTTAATTCCACATGGATTAGACCTAATAGGTTCAGAACTTATATCAGTAGTCTCATTCTAAATGTCAGATAAAATAAATTTTGATGATTCACAAAAGTTTCTGTTCTCCTCTTTCTATCTCATTATTAATACATAGTGAAATGTTTTTTTTTCTTAATTATTATTTCAGTTGAAGTAATCATTCGATATACAACTAGTGTAGCTGGTTCATTGACTGGTTTCATTTTACCAGCATTGGTACTTATTGTTGCCACAATAAGAAATGGTAATCATCATCATCATCATCATCATCACAATGGTAGTAGTAGTAGTAGTAGTCATAATAGTATTTCACGTTTTTTACAAATTTATCGTAATCATTCAATTAGTGCTTATTGTCTACTATTAGTTGGTTGCCTTCTATTCTCATTAGAATTTTTCACAGTACATCATACAAATAATGGTAATACGAATTCATTAACTAATTTAAATGGAATTAATAAGAATAATCTTCAATTATTATCAAGGGATCATATTGTTGATACTACTACTAGAAATAGTAGTAGTAGTACTACTACTACTACTAAAACTGTTACATCTCTTCAATCGAATATTGTTAAAGTGAATTTGAATGCTCCACAACCAATTTTAAATGTTACAATGAAAAATCCCCCTGAACCAATTGATCTAACAAAAATTCAATCACAAATGAATGTTAATGATAAGTTAACTAATATTTCGTCATTGATTCAGCAACATCATCAACAAACTAAACCAATTACTATTATAAATAAGACTATTTTGAAAAATTTTAAAAAATCACGATAACAACATCATCACCGACGTCGTTGTTATCGTCGTCGATGACGACGACGACGTCGTTCAACGCGAAATTGATCAAAATCACATGAAATCTTAGTTTCTTCTTTTTTGAAAAAATCTAAAGTAACGCTGTGATTGGTAAAAAAAGGAAAGAGAGAAAGCAAGAAGGAGAACCGTCCATAGAATTGAAATCATCATGTAACAGTGTTGTGTACATACGAATTGGATTCATTTTAATTTTGTGTAGTTAAAATCATCGTCACGTGTGTATACCTTCTTATTTTATTGTTCTGTGATATGCTTCTTTTTTTGTACAATTTCTTACATTATGTCCCCATTCATGATACACAATACACATGTGATATTTAAGAAGGGATCAATAGTCATAATTTTGTGTTATTTACCCTTGCCTTTCATTGTATTGTTTGTTTATATTGAGTATGGGGACTGGGTTCTATACATACGAAACATCATTTCTTCTTTCGATGGTTGTGATTTTCTTTTACTTCTTGTTGATTTGTCAACATACTTGTTAATGTTCCATCTTTCCATATGATTAATATCTCTGTTGTTACTTACTTACGCCTGTTATTCCTTGTTAAGGAGCATAGGCCGCTCACCAGCGTTCTCCATCCAACCCTGTCCTGAGCAATCCTTTCCAGTTGTTATTCATCTTTTCATGTCTGCTTCTACTTCCCGACGTAATGTGTTCTTTGGCCTTCCTCTTTTCTGTTTCTCTTCAGGATTTTAAGTTAGGGCTTGCCTCGTGATGTAGTTTGATGATTTGCGTAAGGTATGTTTGTTGTAGGTAGATTATTTAAATCAGTAGTACAATTGTATATGTATCTATGTAATTACCATTTGCTTACAATGCTTTATACCACTTACCATCGATATATTCAATGTTTCAGTTTGTTTGTTCTTTTATAGGAGAAGCTCTTTTGTATATGTATGTATGTATTTGCACTGTTCCATTTGTTCAATGATCAATGACAAGTTGTAATCGATCTTTCAACTATCATCTGTGTATATGTAATATCCCCCCTTATGGTTTATTTAAATCCGTGATGAAAGTCTATTTAATATGTTTTGATTCACATAATTTTTTCTAAATACTTTTGTAATTTAAATAAACATACCGGAGACTTTTTTAGCGAGTTAGTTTTCTACGGGATGGGATTGTTAACCCCATGCCCAACCCTTCTCCTTTACCCGGGCTTGGGATCGGTAGTAACTTTAGAACAGCTACAGGCGGAGTTATAGAATAATGTAGTAAAAAGATATTTCCAGTGTAAGAGATTACTGAATTTCTTGTAGCATAATTCACGAACTGATCTTAATTAAAAAACCATTGAAAGAAGGAGGCGCTCTACGATTGTTTTGTTCTAGTATTAGACTTCTTGACAGTATATATTTATAACTTCACTGACGGTTGAGTTCACGCCCTTTACATCTTCAGGCTAGCGATAAACTTTCAGACCACTGGGTTGGCACTCAATAGTTTGTATCGTTAAGTTCAATCAATTCACGCTATTACATAGTCATCTTCTGATGTTGATGGTAAATAATTGGCCCACACTAGGTTTGTTCAAACTGTATCAGTTACGGATTCTCACTAAAACTCATGGAATTAACCACTAGTCAATACATGGTTTTCATTGGTTGTTTAACTGAATTTATTTCGTGTTTTGAAATATTAAAAGGTATTTGTTACTTGTACTTAAGCTGATACTATTGATAATCATCATTTTACGTTATGGATGTCTCTTCATTTTTACTTAAGTGACGGTCGTTTGATGATAATAAGTAAGGAAACGCACCATACGATATTCGTTCGGTCTCGGTGAAAGCAGCGTAGTTTGAAATGTAATGGGGGACAGATGGACTGTGTGCACAGTGTGGATCGAAAAATCACTAAGTACCAGACGTTCAGACTAGACAAAACCAAGTCGATATCTTCAATGTAGTACGACGCAATGAGCTTCTCATTACTTAGTAACTTAAGTCTATTACTCCTCTTGGGCCATCGGTCTCCTATTAAGAATCTCCAGCTAACTCTGTTCTGGACTGTCTTTCCTACTTCTTGTCAATCGCTACTCATTCTCTTGATGTCTACCTCCAATCCCCGGCGCCGTGTGATCTGTCTTTTCTTTTTGTCTTGAAAATTCCAAGTTATGATTTGCCTTGTGATGCAGTTTGATAATTTCCGTAAAATGTCTCATATCCATCTCCAGCATCTCTTTCTAATTTCCTCCTCAATCAAAAGCTGGTTTATACAACTTATCCGTTTTAGAAGTTACTTTTGGACGCCGAGCGCGGACAGACACATTATTATGTAATTTCCTTTTTATTATAGATTTCTACTTTTAACTCATTGAATGTAAACTAATTGTAATTGTCTTTAAATAAAGTATTGCTTAGCTTATACTCTGTCTCTCTTTTGGTGGCCCGATATCCGACTCCGTTTAAATCGTATTATGATTGTTATTGAAATATACATGTCGCCAATCCTCGTATATAATTATCGATTTAACACGCGTTAGTGAAGAATGGAATTAAATAAGTTAAATACGTGTATTTCATACAATCGTCGATTCAAACAAACGGTCCGAGCAGCGAAGAGAAATGAGCGTAACGAAATGACGCGTGGTGAAGGCGTGTGAGCCAACTCGATTCAACCAAGCGTTTATCGATATTTCTAGTCTGACAAAAATAAGTTACAGACATGTAGTGATTAAGATAAGAAATACACACACACACATGATCATATAAAATCAGTCAGGATCAATAAATCACAGGGTGAAAATGTATCTTGAGAAGAATCAATAGATTGATCTGTTCAGAGGCTTAAATAACTTACATGGGCCTGACATAGAACCAGCCCTTACACTATAGTTGTTCTTGTTTGTGGCATAACGTGATTTCAATCTGTGTATGGCTTATCGAATGAGTATCCAGTATGGTTGTGATATAATTTTTGTTACTGATCCTATAACGGCCGTTTGTCGTGTCGATAGAAAACATTTTTACTCTGTTGTTCTATCAGAGCTCTAATTATTCGTCTTAAGTGAAATCAGGCAAGTAATGTAGATGAATTTTGTACAAATAATTCAACTTGTATCCAATTACTGTATTTATTTATAACTACTGGGAAATACCAGTAGAATAATCAAGGGGTATTTGTTTGTGGCATTGTGGTGTATGCTACTTATGTTGACAGGTATAAGTAGTATGTAATATTAATCAGAAATGGAATGTCTGGCAGTCGAAGGTTGAGATATAATTGAAGAGAACAGGAATGTAAACAGAGAGTAATTATAATAACAATGGGAATGGAGGAACGATGACGTTTGTAAGAGACCACTAATGGAAGTTGTGGAAATGAAGTATTTAATGTATGATTTCATATTTCAAGAAGATACTGTAGTGTCGCATTAAACAACAAGTTGATATTGCTCACCGGGGTTCTCGTTCACCACAATATGTTCGCTGAGTCGTTTGATTACAATGCTTTTAATATCATTCTGAACAACATTATCAGTGTTCATCTCATGTACAAGTGAGGCTTTTAGTTAATCAACATGTGTTACGTTAAGCTGTTTCAATGATTTTGTCGGTAAATGATTGTTTTCAGAGGTTTTGTCAACCCTACTTGTCTTTGTATCCTTGTTGAGCAACTTGGCACCTAGATATATGATTGGTTGGTAAACAGACTTCATGCCGATCTGTCTATTGCTTGTAAGGATTGACCTTAATGTTCTGCTCCCTTGAATTTCCTCAATCAATGATTTTGATATTTTCCCAGTCAAATTCATGTCGGTAGGATTATCGGTGTGCAACGATATGAGTGATAACATATTTTGTTTTACTATCAGTTTATTTTCGTGTATTTGTGTATGAAGAAGGAAGTGTAATTTGTCCAATATAGTTTTTGTCACAGTTGACTCAATTTGTTCTATATATCATATTGGATTTGTCTTCTTTCATTGTTACGTCTTTTAGTCTACTCATTTATTGCATCAACGGAATCACATATTTTTATGTATGTTTAGCATCTTCAACACAATAAAGGTAATTTGTATGAAATTGTTAAAGAATGAAAAGTTGACGTAATCTAAGTCATCATCCAACTTCCCTAGGTGGATTCTCCATGATCACCAACCTGGTTAAAGTGCCGGATATTCGCTTTTCGTCCTCTCAATTTCGTAAACAACACCCCAGTCGCGAGAGGGTAGTGGTTTTATGCACGTGGACAAGTGAGGGTATTTTGAGAGGGAGAGCTGACTCTCCTCACTCTCGGTCGTACCAGGGCATTTGGAGGCACTTCGCTATTCTAGCCATTTTTCGGTTGGTAATATCTCTGTGGTATATGCTACTTATGTCGACAGATATAAGTAGTATGTAACACCAATTGAAAGTGGGAACCCTGGCAGCAGAAAGCTAAAGAGATCGGATTGAAGAAAACAGAAACGGAAATTGAAAGGAATTATGATCTGGAAGAATCATACAAAATGTAAAGGACTAGTGATGGAATTTTGCTAATGAAACATATAATGTATGGTTCTTATATTTTACCTAGAGTATTCTGTAACTGAACTAAAGTGCGGTTGATTTTCTATTCCTGTATTTTTGTTCATTGGATCCTCAAATAATGATTCAAACTGAAATTGATCGAAATTCATATAAGTCAATTATACATAAAGTCAAATTCAGATCTGGTCAATATTTTGCACATTTTTTGGCATAATATTTCAGTGAAATAGTCGTGTATGTCTTTCTCTCTTAAAATAAAAATTACAACATCTACATCCAAAACACTTCTTGCTATTGTATGAAGTTGAACTTATCTTAATTATAATAATAGTCGATTGAATAGCTCCGGAGTTAATGATCATATTGTTATTACTTGTGCCCTGTGTCCTATTAATGTATAGTGCTAATTAGAGAGCGATGAATTATCGATCGGACCAATGACACAAAACCTGTACGAGCAGTCTAGTGTCCTT